GTTGCCTCGACTTGTCTGCTGCTTGCCGTTGCTGCTGCTACTGTTTGCTGCTTTTACTGTTTGCTGCTGCTGCTGCTGCTGCTGCTGTTTGCTACTGCTACTGTTTGCTGCTGCTGGTGCTGCTACCGTTTACTGTTTGCTGCTGCTGGTGTTGGTGCAACTATTTGCTGCTTTTTGTGATGATATTTGTTTGTTTGTTTTAGGAGAGGCAACATCGCTGTCTTGGGCTGATTTTGTATCGAAGTGCGGGCAGAGATCGCAGTTGGGTAACCCTCTTCAAGCGGGCGTGAATTTTCGTGATGAGTTTGCGTTTAAGACGGTGTCTTGGGAGGGTTTAGTAAAGCAAGTACGAGAGGGTTTATTTGCTGCATCTCCTTCTTTTTTGCTGCTAGCAATGAACCCCACTCTTACTGCAGCAGCAACTCGCAAGCCCGCAACGCCCCTCACAGAGACACCAGGTGACCCTGGCCCCACACGCGATCTCCTTGCTGAAGTCGAGCTCTTAGAGAAAGAAGAAGAAGGGATGAAGGGAGACGGAGCTGATTTAGCGCTCGCGTTCGATTCCCACCTAGCTGAAGAAATTGCTAAATTAAACCCAGGAGATAAAATTGCATTCGAGGCAACGCTGCATGAATTAGGAAAGAGGTAGCATACACTGCACGGCGGCTAGGGTTTAGGGTTTAGGGTTTTGGGCTTTGGAGGAAGGATGTAGAGTTTAGGGTTTTGGGGAAGGGTTTAGGGTTTAGGGTTTTGGGGAAGGGTTTGGGGTTTAGGGTTTTGGGGAAGGGTTTAGGGTTTAGGGTTTAGTGATGATGTACCTGTCTCTCTCTGTCTCGTGTTTTTGCGTCTTTGGGTATTTTTGCTGCCTCTTTTTATCCGCAGCAATCTCTGTCTCCTTTTGTCTTTGTCTGTCTTTTGTTTGTCTCTTTCTCTTGCATTTGCTCTCCTTTTGTGTCTTCGTTTCTTCTTCTGTCTCCTTCTTTCTGCTCTTTTGATTGTCTGTCTGTCTCTTTTCTTCATTCGCGTTTGTCTCCTCTGTCTCCTCTGTCTCACTTTATTGTCTCTGTTTATTCTCCCTCTTCGTTGTCTCTGTCTCTTTTGTCTCTCTTTGTTGTTTTTCTTTTTTTGTCTGCAAGGCGAGACTTCTTTGGGCTTTAGGGGATGGGGGGCCGCCTCTTTTAGTCTAGCTGCTACTATTGCTGTTGCTATTGTTGCTGCTATTGCTGCTGCTGTTGCTGCTGCTGCTGCTACTGCTGTTTGTGCAGAGGGAAGCCTACATTGGGTCGTTTATGGCGGGTGCAGTTGGTGGAGCCGTGGGTGTCTCGGGAGTTGCGTTTGAAGAAGGCAGCAGCAGCAGCAGCAGCAGCAGCAGCAGCAGCAGAGACATTATCAGATTCTCTGTTCCCTGATATGCTGCTAGGAGGCATGGGTGGGGGCTTACTGATGGGCTTAGGGGGTGCGTTCGGAGGCATCAGGCTACCCTCTTCTATGTTAGGGCGAGGGGTTGTTGTTGTACGCTCAACTACAGTTGGAGACGGCGGAGAGGTAGTAGAGCAGCAAGTATGGAAGGCGGGAGGAGACGATCCCGCAGGTACTTTGCTGCTGCAGCAGGAAGGAGGCGTGCAGCTTGCTGCTGGAGGCAGCCTCGCAAATGCTTCAGGAGATGTAGGAGTTCTTTCTATGTTAAACCAACTCATAGAGCAGCTGCAGCAGCACCAGCATCAACACCAGCAGCAGCAGCGGCAGCAGCGGCAGCAGCACTTTAACTTTGATCGAATGAATGCAATGCTATCGGTTGAGTTTCCTGAAGAAGAAGAAGAAGGAGACGATAATGAAGATGGAGACACCGGAGACGATGAGGGACAGATAGATGCAACCAGCATTCTATCAGGCTTTACACAGCAGAAAGCAGCAGCAGCGGCAGCAGCAGCAGCAAAAGACAGCAGCACAAGACATATACCAGAGACACAAGAAGAAGATGATCTATTCTACTACCTTCCACCGCGAGGAGACAGTTCAGAAGGCCGGGAGACCTCTCCTGATATTTTTGCTATGCCATCTCAAGCTACAGACAGCAGCAAAGAGAGTGAACAGCAGCAGCAAAAGCAGCAGCAGCAGCAACAGCAGCAGCCGCCGCAAGAGCAAGAGCAGGAGAAGAAACAGAAGCAGAAACAGGCAAAGCAGCAGCAGCAGCAGCAAAAACAAACAAAGGGACAGACGCGTAAAGATCCAGGGAGCACTCCAGCCCCCGCGAAAACCAAGCAAGCAAACAAGCAGCAGCAGAAACAAAAGCCGCAGCAGCAAAAGCAAAAGCAGCAGCAGAAGAAGCAGCAAACGCCGCCTCCCCGCGAGAATCAGGACAATCAGACGCAGAAGCAGCAGCAACAACAACAACAAACGCCTCCTGCTGCTCCTGACCAACCGCAGCTGCAGCAGCAGCAGCAAGTGCCTCCATACCAACCACAGCAGCAGCAGCAGCAAGCGCCTCCATACCAACAGCAGCAGCAGCAGCAAGTGCCGCCGTTCCAGCCGCCGCCGCAGCAGCAGCAAGTGCCTCCGTTCCAGCCGCCGCCACCGCCGCCGCCGCCGCCGCCGCCGCCGCAGCCGCAGCAGCAGCAGCAAGTGCCTCCGTTCCAGCCGCCGCCGCTGCCGCAGCAGCAGCAAGTGCCTCCGTTCCAGCCGCCGCCGCCGCAGCAGCAGCCAGTGCCGCCGTTCCAGCCGCCGCCGCAGCAGCAGCAGCAAGTGCCTCCATATCAGCCGCAGCAGGAGCCCTACCAACCGCAGCAACAGATGCCTCCGCCACCACCCGAAGGTCAGGGCTACCCGCCGCCACCTCCGCAGCAGCAACAGCAACAGCAACCGGAGCAGCAGGAGGCTCAGCCGTAGCAGCAGCAGTTGGTGCAGCAGAAGCATCAGCAGCAGCTCGCATTTAAACGGCTCTAGGAATTCAGATGTCAATCTAGCAGCTGCAGCATTTGCTGTGCAATTTGTGTAGTATTCTTCAGTGTATGAGCTGTAGCAGCAGCAGCGCCAGCAGCAGCAGCAGTACCAGCAGCAGCAGCAATAACAAAACGACTTTGTTTAGCGATCTCTACCGAAAGTGCAGCGACAGAAGCACCCGCAGCAGCAGCAGTAACAGCAGCAGCAAATAACAGCAACCGCATTGCCGCTGCAGGCAATGCAGCAACAGCAGCAACAGCAGCAACAGAAACACCAGTTTCCTGTTGAGAGTCATTTAGGTGTATACGCTGTCATCCCGTTGACCCTGTCTCTCTCAGCACCCGTTGTGCTGCTGCTGCTGCTTCTGCTGCTGCTGCTGCTGCTGCCTTCTTCAGTATTCCCCGTTTATTTTCTCGCTGCATCTTCAAGTGGCTGGAGCATGCTGCGCTGCTGCAGCAGCAAGGGAATTCATGAGCAGCTGCAGTAGCACTCTCTAGCTACAGCAGCAGCAGCAGCTGCTGCTGCTGCTGCTGCCTTGGAGAGGGTTGTATGTCAGTGGTTGAGGGCCTGCAGCTAATTCTTTCGTGGCTTCTTATCTTCTGCAGCGTTTGTTTCCCTCTGGGGATTTTATGTTGCTGGGAGTTCGTTTAGCTTCTATTTGTGCAGTACTTTGTTGCTGTTGCTGCCAGCAGCAGCAGCAGCAGCAGCAGCAGCAGCAGCAGCAGCACGAGCAGCAGCAAGAGTAGCAGCAGTATGAGCATCAGGGACGTCCTGGAAGCAGCCTGTTGCCGCTTGTGCTGCAGTGCTGCTGCTGGTATTAGAGGTGTTGGAGGTGATTTAGCGGTTGGTTGCTGCTGCTTCTGCTGCAGCAGCGCTCGGGTTTTGTGCTGCTTGCTGCCTTCGCTGCTGCCCCATTTAGAAACACAGTGCAGGAAACAGAGCCAGCAGCAGCTGCTGCTGCTGCTTCTTTTGCTGCAGCAGCTGCCTCTGCTTCTGTAGCAGCTGC